AATCCCTATAACTGTTCCTTCGCCGCCTTTATCTCTGACGATGGACTCCTTCATGATTTCGGAATCTCAGACGAATAAGGAAATTCCAGTTTTCTCCTCCGTATTGCAGCGGCCTCGGCAAAGCTTAGGAGGCGCCCAGTCGTCACCCAAAGTAGGACCTTCCATTCAGTCATTGGGTCCACCGTATGATCCGTGTCCACTAGGTGCTTCGTAAATGAACTTCTAGGTACCTTCTTTTCTTGTAAACGGGTATTCGGAGAAGTTCATCAATAAGTATCGTCATCCCAGACAAGGAAATCCTGTGGAAAAATCCGTGCCGAAAAAACCGAGGGGCACCTACCTTCCTTTCAAAGGTGATCATGTGTCATATGTAATCAAGCGACGACTTAGGTGTACGACTGAACGGACGTACGCCACTCCTAAACTGTTGTTATTCCAGTTAGACCAGCTAAAGACGTCCTGCTTATGCACGCCACATCAAACTGTATTTATGAGTTTACGTGTAGTTGTGGATGCAAATACGCTGGGTACAAACAAAGGAAATTGGCAGCTCGATCAGCTGAACACATGCTGAAGTGGCGTAAATAATGTACCCAGGAGTTCAATTTCGAAGCACCTACTGGACACGGACCATACGATGGACCCATTGACTGCGTTTAAGGTCCTACTTTGGGCGAAGACTGGACGTCTCCTACGCTTTGCCGAGGCCGCTGCAATACGGAGGCGAAAACCGGAACTCTGAAAGCAGCTGAATAAAGAAATGTTTTCGGCGATGGCACGGCCATTTTCTTCAACGTTTGCATGACTACCATCGCGTAACTTAAGTAACTGATAAGTGAAATAATCGGTGGTGATTTCGAAGTAGTACTTCCAGACCTTCTCGACTATTTTGAAATAGTTATTTAATCTTTCCTTTTCCGGACCACCAGGCTAAACATAACCACGAAACCGAACTTGTGACTGACAACAGATATTCAGTGGACTGAGTTTTGGGTGCACTCACCGTTTCTTGAAAACTTTCCCCGTCGAGGAATCTATGACTTTATTTTGCTGACTGTTAGATGCAAGGTGGCAGGCGGAATTTTCAGTGCCTAATTCATACAATACTGACAAGTGTGTCAGCTCCCCGTCTTTCTAGAAATCCGCGTAATTTCTTTCTGGCAACCGGCTAATAATCCCCCTCCCCCCATTTTCTGGCTGTTTCCGTGCGAGACGCAAGACTAAGTGGGACGGCCATATGTAGTCCACTCGTTGGATCACCCAAATTTGATCATCCTTCAACCACGGAAACTGCAATGCAGAGAAGCGGGGAGGGGGAGGCGCGACGGGGTTTAAGGCAGTTGGCTTAGCCAGGCTGTTCAGTAGCTATTCTACGCCGCCCCCCCCCCACTTTTTCAAGTATACCCCCCTCTCACAGCCATGAGGCTCATCCTTTATTGGACTGCCAGGGAATACCACGGGCTGCAAGGGAGAGCAACCAACACCAGATCAACGATGGCCCCCTAAACGGTAATCAAGCCGTTAGACTCGTCCTCCCCTCCGCCTCCCCCCCCCTCGTGGCCTTAATTTCTACCCAGCAACGCCTTCATCCCTTTGTTGCCTTCTTCGGTGGAGTGTTTTCCTTCACACATGCCCGAGTGGTCCTGGTGGCGCAGGGAGAGAAGAAGCGACGCAGACGTCGAGGATGGGACAGGAGGGTTGGCAGTTGGCAACATGTGTGTGTGTGTCACCGACGCTAGTGCCGGTGGGGTGTTTACACTACACTGGCAAAGGCAGCGACGTCACTGGGACAGAGGAATGGGTGTGCAGGGCGGTCAACTATCAGGTGGGATTTTCTGTGTGTCCCCGCTGTCATCCGTCTCTCGCCCCCGCGATCTTCCTCAAACTCCTGGCGCTGCTGATGTCACACATTCTATGAAGACGCCATCATGTCCGACATGGCGGTACTGCTACTATAGCGTGACTCCTACCTTCACTTCTTTGTTCCTACTTCAGCATATCCTTCGGAATGTTGTTACGAGAGTTCTATACTGAAGAGAGAGAGAGGGGGGGGGAACTCGGTTTATTTTGAAATCATAAATTCAAAATTTTCAGCAAAAATTGGCTCCATTCACTATGGGTAGTAAATAAGTTAATAGATTACTCAAGAGCCAAAAAGTTTAACACAAAAGGGAAGATTATTATGGGGACAGTTCAAGTCTTAGCTTCTGTATTTCTATCTCTTCACACGTAAGATAGCGTGCCAGGAAGGGCAATACAGAAGCTCGAAAAGCCTATGTACGACAAGACGTAAGTCGGAAGCTGCGGCGCATCGGGCGGGAAGACTTCGCAGAAATAAGATCAGAGTGCAAGGGCTGGGCTAGGTCATCTATAATCCGACCGGCAAATCGCTTGACCGTATTGAAATGCCGTTGTAGGATAGTGTCAACTAAAAAAAGATAAGAGACATCAGCCTCAGAAGACAGCATTCGGAGGACTCCTTTTAAAATTAAAATATCTTTTTTGAGCAAAGCAGGAAAAATGACAGGAGAGCAATAAAGGATAAGAGGAAGAATGCAGGCAGACTAAGGGTTGAGGTGTGTGGTAGGAACGTAAACGACGACTGTAATAATGAAGTTTACGAACTTTAGTAAAAAGGGACTCAATATGGAGGAAAAATGAGATATTTGAGGATAAAGTAACACTAAGGTATCTGAAAGAGGACACCTCATTAGGAAGGATGTCAGAGGATTCAGAACTAGGAGAGGGCCGCAGTCGGAAAATACAGTAGGAGACCATTTTCCTCCGACCGTACTAGGACATGGTTTAGGCCAACCTTTAGAGACTGGAGTTGTGTCTGACTTTTGAGAGGGTGTCCAGCAACCACATCATCAGCAGCATACTTAACCAAAAAACAGTGCAGAGTACGCGTTACGATATCTCCTCTGACATGGTCTCTTAGTAGAGGAGAAACCTTGCCGCATGTGCAATGGGCCGGCGATGTTCACCAAAAAGAATGTCCGCAGACAGAATGTGTCGGAACGAAAGTGCAGAAGAAAGGATTGACAAGTCTGTTCGATCGGTAAGAAACGGGAATGAATTCCCCCATTATTATAATTTGGATGGAAGACTCCACCAAAGCCGATCCCTACAAAGGTTCTGGAGATCTGGTCAACTCAGCGAGACTGAAAAGTGCGAAAGATTTGAATGAATGGTGCACCCGTGAGGTGGCCGAAGATCGCTTAAGTTGCATGAGTCCAAATGAATCCGCATCTTTAAAGGATTGTGACGTGGGTGGGTGCGCTGGACCAACATGGGATCTAGACTGAAGTTTGACAGGCGTTATCGGGAAGGCGCACTTACAACAAATGCCGACACTGGGGTGTTGTGACACGCCTATGTGCGGGTTCACGCCGCATCCACTGAAATCTGTCCTGTCTCTTATTTGTGTTG